TGGTAATCACTACGGAAGTAGATTGCCCAACCTTCCTTCCGAGGAGTGACTGGTGGGCTTGAACCACCAGCCTTCTGGTTAGCAGTCAAATGCCATAGGCACTACGCCACCAGAGCTCCCAAAAATAGTATAGTGGACAGCATTGTTGGAAGGCTGAAAGCCAAAGAAATATATATACCTTACCTAGGGTCAGGAAAATGTGAAAACTTTCTGGCTAGTGCTGGCTGGCCCACATGTTTTCAAAAGGGTATGTCATAAAGAAAAAATGTTAAACTTGCAAGCAAAGCAGGTTCTGCAGATCAGGAGGCTGCAAAATAATTTTTTTAAATATCTCCTAAGTGTTTTATATATAAAAAACCAGAACCAGTAGCTGTGGAGTCAATTCTCACTCACGGCAACCCCATGCATGTCAGAGTAGAACTGTGCTCAATAGAGTTTTCAAAGCTGTGACCTTTTGGAAATAGATCACCAGGCCTCTGGGTGGACTTGAACATCCAACCTTTTGGTTAGCAGTCAAGCACTTAATGATTTGCACCACTCAGGGATTCCCTAAGTGTCCTTGACTGCATAATATTCCATAATTACTGTAAATATACCATAATTTATTTAAGCAGTCATTTACTGATGGTTGTTTAGGCTGCATTCAATCTTTGGCTATTATAAACATCCTTATACAACATATCTTTCACATGTAAGAGTATGTTGTATATGTGTGTATATATATATGTGTGTGTATATATACATATACATATATGTGTGTGTGTGTTTGATTAGATCACTTTGGTCATTGGCCTGTTTCGATTGCTTGATGTAAAACCATAAAAAAAACTAAGGTCCCTGGGTGGTACAAATCGTTTGTGCTTATCTACTAATCCAAATGTTGGTGGTTAGAATCTACCCAGTAGATCCATGAAAGAAAGGCCTGGTGATCTGGTTCCATAAAGATTAGAGCCAAGAAAACCCTATGGAGCAGTTCTACTCTGTTACATGGAGCCACCATGAGTTAGAATTGATTCAATGGCAACCAACAACAGCCCAAACTGAGCATTCTATAAAAGAAGGAAGCCATCCTTTCTTCCTAGCTCTGATTCTCTGGGCCTTGCCCATCACCACCCACCAACCAGTGTTCTATGACTAGACTATATGCCACTTGATGCACATGTTCTCTCTCCTTCCTTGTGAATGTCAGCCACCTCTCACAAATCAGCTCCTGGGTGGCTGAAGAACAGTCCTCTTCAGGCAGCAATGATTTTGAAAGCTCAAACCTATCCTTGAGGCAAACATGGTCCAGAGGACATCTGAATGCTGATAAAGATGTGTTGAGCTTTTAGACCTAATGGTTTTTAGACCTGTTCTTTGTTCCTGCTGTGTTAGGGGTGGAGGTAGGGTGGAATAGGTGTAAAATCTTGGGTCTCCCTTTCTTGGGTTTCCCAGAAAGGCAAATTGACCCTTAAATACACTTCCTAGCATTCTGGGGCCTCCTAGGGGCATCACTTCAGATGATCAGTCCTTGGAAGATCAGTGCTCTTACGGGCAAGGGGTTTCTAGGGCCTCATTGGTCTCATGACTGCCAACATTTCCAGCATCTGTAGTCTTAAAGAGCTGAAGGAAGCCTGGAGATTTCCTGAAACAGAAAAGAGTGCTGGACAGAACCAGGGCAAATTCCCCTAGCAGGGCAAAGGAACGGGGAAATAAGAGACCAGAGGATTTAGTGACCCAAAGCGCCACAGAGTCCCAGGGCTGAAAATAGAGAAGCTGGTGAGTAAGGGGGATCAGATGGCACAAAATTTACAGCTTCGTACCAGCCATGGGGATCCAAAAAAGTATAACAGCAGGGGCTTTGTGCTGAAGGAGCTTATGGTAATTTAGTTGGAGAATAAAAGTTCATGCACTTGAAACAATTTGTAATTGGGTGCTAAATTATTTTATCAATAACAACGGAAGTGCTATAGGAACTCTGAGAAGGGACAAATCATGTGGTCCCCTGTTAGCTAAATAAGACAGTGCAAGTTCCAAAGGACTTTATGTCCCAGCTGCATCAGCTATAGCTTTTAGAGATTAGTGTGCCTGTGTCTTGCATGGTTTCATGGAGGAAGTGTGGGGGAAGAAGCTTCATCTGTGTCAGCATTAACAACAAACATAAATTGAGTATCCATCTCTCATGGAGAGGACAAACACAGAAAGAGTTCAAGGACCAGTGTAAGAGGGCAGGTACCAGTAGCATAAAGACAAAGAAAACTGTGGATTGAGGGAGGTAAGAGAAGGTTTCTTGGAAGAATTAGTACTAGAGCTGCTCACTGGAGGAAGATTTTTATTAAAAAAAACCTGACAGTTGCTGTCAAGTTGACCCCAACTCATGGCAACTCTATGTGTGTTCACAAGCTGTTTTTTTAGAAGCAAATCACCAGGCCTTTCTTCCAAGATGCCTCTGGGTAGACTGAAGCCTCCAACTTTTGCACCACTCAGGGACTCCGTAGGAAGGTTAGGGTTTGCATTAATGGAGAAAATAGTGGAGGGGGCTCTAAATGGCATCAACATGACACAGAGGTAGAAGTGAGCGAGGCAAATAGAATAAGTGAGAAAACCTGCTGCACTGGAGTAAAGGGTGTGTGATGGGGTTGATAAAGTTGGAGGAAGTAGTGTGGTGTCAGATTAGAGAGAGCCTTGGAAGGCAGACAGAAGGAGTTGTTTTACAATGATAATAGGGAGGTATTGTAGATTTGTGCATTTGGGGAATCCGGAGGGCAGGAGGACACAGGAGGAACAGCTTGAAACAAAAACGTTGGGATTCTACATTCTTAGATTCATACTCCCATGTTAGGGTGAACAAACCATCCCAGTTTGCCTGGGACATGGGGGCATGAGTTGGTCAGTCTAGTGAGATCCACCCTGAGAATAAGTTCCTAAAAGATCCCTGAAAGGTTCTGTACCATATGCTAGCATTAGAGAGCCTGGTCCCAATTGGAAGGCCCCAATCAATCAACATTTTGTGAAGTGTTCTCAGATTGATAGTCTTGACCTCCCTCATGAACTGAAGGAGCAGCCTTCTAGTCACCCGCTAGCACAGGTCCAGACTAAGATGGGGAATCAACCTCAGAAGGCAACAAAATCGGCTTTGGGAAAGGAGGTAGCAGGGGCAGGAACCTTAACAAACAACACAGCGACTACAGGAAGGCTTTTTTTCAGGCCAACCTCCTCTTGTAGCCCCCATTTTGGTGGCTAATACTTGGCCACTCCTCACATAGATTCTTTTTACTGACTTCCTGCAGCAAAAGGCAGTTGGCACAGCCTCTGCTACATTTATATTATTACCAGGAGGCAGATGTTTTCTCTTTTTCTCTGGGGTTTAGAATTATGCAAATGAAGGCAGGGAAACAAAAGCTCAGTGAGCTGGGGGAGGGTTGCTCTTCAGAATCCAGGCAATTTTCAGATCTTTTTAAGAAACCCCTCTCAATTTTTACTAAGAGCTCTCTTGGCTCCTGGCCAGTCTATTTAGAATCTGGCACCTCTTCAGACCCTTTCAGCCAGAGACCTGAAAGTTCATTCTAAAGCCCTATCCTGGCCTCACTTTGCAAGTGGAGAATTCAAAGCATACAACGTGAGCTTCAGTGTTTGTAGGCTGACTTTGAATCTTGACACACACACACCCCTCCTTTGTCTCTTCCCTAATTGGTGCACAATCTTGCCTGGAAGGGAAACTCTATGGCCTAATTGCCTCCCAGCCAACTCCCCCTCCCCCAGACATTATATATGAAGGGCAATAGGACCTAGGGAGGTTCAACCTTGCAGCCAAGGCAGACACACCTGCTTAACCACTCCCAGTGAGCGATTGTGGGAGCCAGCCAGTTAGCAAGTTTGGGAGGGCGGGGTAGGAATAGGAGGCTGCTGCTTTTGGAGAAAAGGAGCTATGAGGCTCCCTCCTGGGTCAGGGGGTCGTGGGTAGAAGTGCCTCTGAGGAGTGGCGCAAGCCACTTTTCGTCGTGCCTCCGCACTCGAAGCGTCCTTCGGTTTGCCCTCCAGGAATGTTCAGGCTGTCTACCATCTCGGCTGCCCCCGCAATCCCGGTGCCTTAGTTTCTGCTGCTGCCTGGGGTGGCTGGAACCGCGGGGCAGGCAGGACCCTGGCATCAGATGGTGCTCTAGAGTTTGGCGACATCTGCCCAGCAGGGTGGGCGCCCCGCACGTCGTACCTCTCACTAACAAAAGTTTCTCCGTGGAGAAGCAGCCCCTCCAGCCTTGCCTAGATTCTGGAGCGCGCGAAACTTTGCCTCTCTGTTCTAAGACGGAGCTCAGGGACCCGGTTGTAGCATTGCTTCTGCCCACGTCTGCTGTTTGGGGGCGGGGCTTAGGGAACCTGAGCAGCCTTCTGGGGAGCCCTCGACTCCGCGTGGGTCCTGAGCGAGCATTGCCAAGCAGGCGAGCGGGCGAGCAATAGCTAGAGGCCTCAGTAGTGAACTGATTCTCCGAAGGGACGCTCAACCTGCGCCCTTTGTTCTTTCCTGGCTCAGTTCTTGGCTGATTTGAGGGTGCACATTGGTCAGAACTCCTCGCGAGGAGGTGTTGAGCTTCGGTGTCCACCTCTGAGTGGCTACCCACCTGCCGGAGGCGGGGAGGGCTTCGAAAGAAGGAGCCGTCACGGAAACAGCTTTTTCCATGGCTTTTTTCCACTTGCCTGGAATTGGACTCCAGACTGAGCGCTGGGATGCTTACTTTTGTCTTGTCCAAGTTTCAGAGCACTCATGTTGACGACTGGAATCCTGGGCCAATTGAAAGTCAAGCTCAAAGTGATACTCCAGGTCTCTCGATTCTAGACTCTAACAAGTCTAATTTGAGACTAGAAGAGAGGGTTCTCCTGCTCCAACTAATAGATCTCCGTCCCAGAACTGGACTTGACGGAGCCCTCTTCACTGATCCTTGGACTGCAGTGGCTACAGGGTGCTCTTGGTTGGAAGAGGGTGTGTGTGCTCTGAAGACCAGACCTCAACACGCAGAACCTCGAGGATGGACAGAGTTTATGAAATTCCTGAGGAGCCAAATGTGGATCAAGTTTCACCTCTGGAGGAAGATGTCATCCGTGGGGCCAACCCCCGCTTTACCTTCCCATTTGGCATCCTCTTTTCCACCTTTCTGTACTGTGGGGAGGCTGCATCTGCCTTGTATATGGTTAGAATTTATCGAAAGAATAATGAAACCTACTGGATGACGTACACCTTTTCCTTCTTTATGTTTTCATCTATTATGGTACAGTTGACCCTCATTTTTGTTCACAGAGATCTGGCTAAAGATAAGCCTCTGTCATTGTTTATGCATCTAATCCTCTTGGGACCTGTTATCAGGTGAGCAACTTTTTAATCTCTTCCTGTACCCCCTGACTTGTGCAGAGAAAGATGAAGCTAGTATTTTTTTATGAGATGGGTTCTGTGCCTTTGATCTAATCAATTCTACTGTCTCCCACTCTTGGCTTCCCTGCCTAACATCCAAAAAATCTTATCTGAAATCCCAAACGCCACCATGAACATGTAGCATGTACCTCTGGTACTATGTGTGGTACCATTGATAATACTTCATTAGACAATGTTTGCTGTTTGGATTTTGGTTGTGAAAACTTGTATGGGACTGAGAGACTTGGTCACTGTGTGCACATAGGCTATAGCTGTAGAGTGTGTGATTTTGACCCTGTCCTTAGGTGTTTCGTAAATTGGATGAAAGAATCCTTCCTCTCTCCATCCCATCCCATGTTCAGTTTCTTTACTTTGAGCTGCTTGCTCTGGTACTGCTACCATTTTCAAGTTTTCCAGAGTTATTTGACATCTAAAAAATATTTTAAGCAAGCTGTGGTAGTCTGCTGCCCCAACCTGTTGGAGTTCACTTTTCTGTGTCAGTTCACCAATCTCCTGTGTATCCCTATGTATCTTTCTTCAATAAAAGTACACAGTTAAGGGGCAAAGGAAGATGGTCTCCATGCTTCATCCAGATGCAGTAGCACTATGTAATAGTATCAAATCTTTCCATTCTGATGGAATTGAAGGGACTAGAATGTGCTTTATCCTAGGGAGATAGGCATCTGTGTCAGCAATGTCATTTAGATGCTTTAGAGTTTTCAAAGTGAGGAAACGTTGCAAAACTTATGAGGTCAGGAGGGAGGAATGGACCAAGTATGTCTTGATTGCAAAATAGGCAGAAACCTATAGTCAGCTGAGGAATATGGGTCAGAGTGTTGATGTTACAATTGCGATGGGAGGAGATCTCATCCTTAGAGAACTACTACAGTCTGTGAAACTGATTAAGGATGGAATCCTCCCTTTAAAAGATTATCAGTATATTTTTAAACAGGGAGGAATTGATTCAGTTTCATCAGAGAAGATATAGATATCATCAGAAATGGTGACCTGGAATTCAGGAGACAGTCTAGTCATTGCTCTGTCATTGACTACTTGCATGACCTTGGTGAAATTTCTTAAGATGACTTGGCCTCAGTTCCCACATCTGTAAAATAAATAGGACAGGCTTGGTCATGGATATCAAACTCAAATGCTTACAGGGGCCAGGTAGGTATCATAAATGAGTGAGGCAGACTGAGTATAAGGAAACAGTCACCTCATGTGTGATGATAAATGAAAATTAAGTCTCAGTGTCAGAGAAATGATGGGGAGTAGTGAGTACTGTGCAGTCTAGAGTACACGTAACCTGTCTAAAGGAGGCAGCTGCCCTATAACTCCAGCCCATTGCTTCCATTTTGGAATGTGGACCCAGTATTGCCAGATCCCTCAACTTTTCAGGAAAAGCCAAGACAGACTTTTATATAAAATGTCATGATTTTAAAATTGGGCTCCTGATTAATTAAAACAAAACACTGTCTGGGCCAAACTACATCTGTGGGTCAGCTGTGACTCAGCTGGCTTATATGCAACCTTTGGGTTAGGTGATCTAAAGGTCATTTTCAGTTCTAAATCTTTGATGTTAAGCTATTTGATGTTAAGACCTCATTTTGAACTTAGAACCAAGACATTTAGCGATGTTATTGGAGGAGCAAGGCACTTAACCATTCTTCTATCCCTTTTCAAATAACTGAGTTAACGATCAAGCACTCTCAAGATGCAAAGTTCAGCAAGCACCACCCCAGCGCCCAGTTTTGACTTCCTGGTTTGTTTAGTGGCCTCCCAAGCCATCTTTGATTTGGGCACTCTGAATGGAGTGTTAAGTGCTATATTTCATTTTTGTGATTCACCTTCTGTTTAATATGATTGGGAGGCATTTATCACCTCAGTCAGCTAACCCCACAGCAGGAAAAACAAAAAACTCATACATTAAACCCAAGGTAGGCTTGTTTTCAAGGCCAAATGTTTTTTAGGTAGGTAGGAACTTGATTAATGCTATCAGGCACATAAAGGTGTTTGGAAAGCCTAGCTTCTTTATATGAAATGTGAATATTTATCCGAAAATGAAAATTTACTCTAATTTACTGAAACTTATAAGCAAGGCAGACACTTTTACATAAACCAATAAATGTTGTTGGGTACTGTCAAGCCAATTCTGACTCATAGTGACCCCATGTATCAGAGTAGAACTGCCTCATAGGGCTTTCTAGGCTGTAATCTTTATAGAAGCAGATTGCCAAGTATTTCTCCCACAGAGCTACTCAGTGGGTTTGAACTACCAACCTTTCTGTTAGCAGTTGAGCACTTAAGCATTGCATGACCAGGGCTCCTTAAACCAGTAAATAGTGCTAAAAATGAAAGCACAAACAGAAGGGTTCATTCCACCACTTCCCCCAGTATTTTATTCTGCAATAACATTGATGGGCTTGGGTTAAAATATAAAATATTTTATTGAAAATGCATTTATGCATTTTCCCTGAATAGGAAGAGTGTGTCCATTTTCCCTCTCCATTCTCTCCTTCTATCTTTTACTCTTGGAGGTTTTATGGTTTGCCCCTAAAAGTGAAAGTTTCAAATGACATGTTTCAGAGTGGTACATGTGCACCAACCTCAGAGGGAGCCTATGGATAATGGTAGAGGCAGTGTTTCATTCTGTTATACATAGGGTCGCTATGAGTCGGAGCTGACTCGACGGCACCTAATAACAACAACAAAACAACATCATTGTTCAAAACCTTCCCACCGAGAGACAAACCTAGAGAGCACATAAATCTCTGAGCCTGTTTTAGGTTTATGTTTCTGTTCAATCATATTGTTCTTATTGCCATCCTGACCTCCCTATATTCTTTCTTTCTCCTCATGCTTTCATTCACTTAGAAAATATTTATCAAATACCCACTATGTGATGAGGCCTATGAGCAAGATAAACACAACCTCTGCCCTTAGTCTGTCAGGGAAAATGTCTTAATTTTCACCACAAACGTTATTACTTGTCATAAGAAATGATCCACAGTTTCCATTCATTTCAGTGTGAGTGGGGGAAGTGGTAACTCAGGTCTTCCAAAATGAGATGTTCTCGTTGTTTCTCTTCTGTTCACCACATCAAAACTAGTAAGGACTTCTGATTTGTATCAGGAGCTGGGAGGGGTACAACAGGAAATGTGGTTTTTTCACTGTTTCAAGGGTGGGAGGGCCTCATAAGGATGTTCTTTGTAAAGAAAGAATCTGGTTTAGAAGGCTGTTGTCCCCAAACAGGTCAGGAGCCACATTTAGAGGGACCTTTTGAGATTCCCTAGATAATGTAGTACATTGGTTCTGCATTGTCAAGTCTATTAAATACCCTTGTTGCCAAATGGCTTCCCTGTGGATATGAGAGGTTTTCTCCTAACGCTGCCCCACCACCTCCACTGGAGACTTTTTGACTGAGACAGGTATAGTTACAGGCTCTGTCTTGAAAAAGCAGAACTTAAAAAACTCCAGTTCTAGAACTGAATGCTTTGAATAAGAAACACTTTACCTCAGGATCTGAGGTATTAGAAAGACCAAGGCCTTTTGGTACCTTCCTGGTTCTCTCTCAACACAGAACACAGTATTACTTAATGCCTTTTTCTTCAAGTCATTTTTCTATCACAGTCCTCAAAAGACGTACTTCTGAAATGGTATTCTTACTAGGTGACCAACCAACCAAAACAGGATTTAGACTCAATTAACTTGTAGAAGGCATTACCAACCCTTTGATTCATGAACAGGACAGGAGAGTAGGAATGGCAAAAGGTAGCAAAACTTCCCTGAGTTATTTTTCCCCTCATTACAATCTCCCTTCCCAAGACAGCTTTAGTTAAGTTCTCGTGATGCTTTACTTCCGCAGATGTTTGGAGGCCATGATTAAGTACCTCACACTGTGGAAGAAAGAGGGGCAGGAGGAGCCCTATGTCAGCCTCACCCGAAAGAAGATGCTAATAAATGGCGAGGAGGTGCTGATAGAATGGGAGGTTGGCCACTCCATCCGGACTCTGGCTATGCACCGCAGTGCCTACAAACGTATGTCGCAGATCCAAGCCTTCCTGGGCTCAGTTCCCCAGCTGACCTATCAGCTCTATGTGACCCTGATCTCTGCAGAGGTCCCCCTGGGTAGAGGTGAGTGGGGTCATGTGAGGGGAGGGCTCCATTCAAATCAAGACTTAGAAGTCTAAACTGGAGCTGTTCAATACACTGGCTATTAACTTCACGTTGCTATTTCAATTAAAATGAAATAAAACCCCAAATTCACTTCATCAGTCACATTAGCCACGTTTTAAGTACTGAATAGCTACATGTGGTTAGTGGCTACTGTGTTGGACAGTGCAGATACAAAACATTTTCATTATCACAGAAGGTTCTATTAGACAGTGCTGGGAGATTGTTAAAGAACTTTGGGGAGTCAGACATTTCAGGCTTGCCAGGTTTCTTAGGCTGGTGGTTCAAACCCACCAGCCACTCTCAGAAGAAAGACTGGGCAATCTACTTCCATAGAGATACCGCCTCGGAAACCCAACGAGGGGTTGCTATGAGTCGGAATCAACTCAGAGGCAGTGAGTTTGCTTTTTTTTTTTTTTTTTTTTTGAGGTTTCTGAAGCTAGGGTAAGCAAGACTAAAAATGCCACAGATAAACCTTCTGTGGGTCCAGAAGAAGCTAGTATTACCAGCAGTCAGTAGGCGATTTTTCTTTGTCCAGAGTGTTTAAATTATGCTGTGTTAGTTTCTTTTTTTCTTTTTGATTCACGGATGGAAGTCTTTAAGTAAGAGATTGCCAACTATCATCAGAATCATGTGACTCATCCAAATCGTGTGATAACTTTCTTTGAAAACTTATATTCCCTCCACAGAGGGTGTAGGGAGGCCAGGAATCTGATTTAAAAACAAAAAACAAACAAACAAACAAAAAAACCCAGTTGATTCTAATCCTCCCAGAAGAAAGGCCTGGTAATCTACTTCCAAA